GCCAAGTCAAGTCTCCCAGGGCACATCAGGCATCCCTGAAAGAAAGTGGCATCCCCTTCAGTAGGATCAGGTGGTGGCTACACTGTGCTCTTGCAGTCTGCCAGGGAGAGGTTGGGATCGCCTTATGACAGTTGGGGCTCATTTTAGAAGGCAAAGTATGTGTCCTCTTGGTCAATAAAGGACAATGCTATTCCTCTGCCAGGGGCCATTGGTAGCATTTCATTTATAGCATGTTCTAGTAATGTCACCTGGAGATGACCTTGAGAAACAACTAACTTTTGTCAATTAGTCCAATTCTAAAGCCTGTCTTGGCAAGCACTGCTCGGCCAGCTCAGCCTGCTCTAATGGAAACCCCCTTTCCACAGGCTGATTTCTCCTCTGATTAATGCTGCAGAAAAGGGGGGACCGTAGAGACAATTACTACAGAAGAAGGGGGACAACTGAGCTGCCTACTATCCACAAAGCTTCTCAAGACTGATAGACATAGGTCAAGGCTGAACTTTTGGGGGCCACCATGGAAAACTCCAGGACCTTGTTCTCCATATACTAGCCACCCTTTAATGATTTTTTAGATAGCACTTCAAAGAGCATGGAACCATTAGGCAGTTGTGGCTGTCCATGCTCAAAAAAATCTTTGTTCTTGTCACTGTTGTGTGCACGAGCCCCTCGTGGACACTCTGAACCCTCCTTTCCCCACAAATACACATATGTCCACACATCTAAGAAATGGGTCTCCTAGACTCCTAGTGTAAGGCCAAGGATCCTAAAGTAAGAAATCTTACTGGAGTGTGGATAAACCTTGAAGAAGTTCTTAAATGGGTCAGAAGCACCGTGGTAGTCTGAATGTAAGTGGCCCCCATAAGCTCATGGGGAGAGGCACTATTAGGAGGTGTGACTTTGTTGGAATAGGTATGGCCTTGTTGGAAGAAGTGTGTCATTGTGGAGGTGGGCTTTGAGGTCTCATATGTGTTCAAGCCACACCCAGTGTCTAACTCTTGTCAATTAGTCCAATTCTAAAGCCTGTTTTGGCAAGCATTGCTCGGCCAGCTCAGCCTGCTCTAATGGAAACCCCCTTTCTATGGCTGATTTCTACTCTGATTAATGCTGCAGAAAAGGGGGGACCGTAGAGCTGATTACTACAGTGTCTCAGGCCACTTCCTGTGGCTTGCTGGTCAAGATGTAGGCCCCTCAGCTTCTTCTCCAGCACCATATCTGCCACCATGCCATGATGACAATGGACTAAACCTCTGAAAATGTACACTTCTCCAATTAAATAGTTTTCTTTTATAAGAGTTGCCCTGATCACAGTGTCTCTTCACAGCAATAGAAGCCCTAACTAAGAGAAACACCCAAGTAGCTTTTTCTCCCCTTCTTCCAGATTCACCAGTATGTACAGAGTCTGATGACCTGTGACGGCTGCCCTCCCTTTGTGGAGTATGCAGGGAACTATAGTTAACCAGAGTTTTCTCAATACAAAAAAAAAGAAAGAAAAAGAAAAGAAAAGAAAAGAAAAGAAAAGAAAAAAAGATTGGCTTGGTAGTACCCACCCCAACACTTGGGAAGCAGAGTCAGGCAGATCTCTGTGAGTTCAAGGTCAACTTAGTCTACAAATTGAGTTCCAGGAAAGCCATGACAGTTAACACAGAGAAACCCTGTTTAGAAAAACAAACAAACAAAAAATAAAACTAGTTTTAAAATTATAATTTAGTCTTTCCCCAGAGAAAGAATGCAAGTATTTGAATAGATACTAATAAGTCACTATTGCAATATTGTGTGTGTGTGTGTGTGTGTGTGTGTGTGTGTGTGTGTGTGTGTTCTCTGTTTATGTGGGTCTTCTCCTGGGAGTCAAATCACAATGTCTGCATCTTCCATGTTCTGGCTTACCTGTCTGCAATAAATTCACACAGATACGAGCCAGCCTGGAGTCCTTTAGGCAAGCGGGTTGAGCAGTCAGGAAGCAGTTTTCAGGGCCACGGTCATGGTGAAGGCACTTGCCCACATGGAAGCCTTCTCAGCCATTTTGGACAGCTCCGATCCCTTCCTCTGCCTCTTATCAGCTAAGCTTCTGTAAACCGCACCTCACTGTGGTGCCCAGCAGGGATTACTAACTGTCATGTAGCTTTTATCTTTCCGCCTCCCCACCAGCAGGGAGGAGAGCTCAAAATGTGTCAGAATTACACACCAAAAGCAAAGGATTCCCAAGGGGCAAATCCCTGTCTCCAGAGCACCAAGACCATCCTACACAAAACAGAAAACATGAATCTCGGGCTCTCCTGAAATTTCTCTTGCTTTTTTTTTTTTCTGGGTTGAAAATATAAAAATGATATCTGCCAACTGCCGGATCTGACCATGAGAGAAAATCAAATAGTAAATAAAAGAAAATGAAAACCGAATCAGGAAATGCAGCCGAGTGAGGGAAACACACACACACACACACACACACACACACACACACACTGCATATGCACACACATCATGCACTCACACACACATATATGCACACACAGACGCAGGTGCATGCACATAAACAATCACACACAGCGCTGCCACCCTTCCTGAGTTTCTGAGACAGACATGATTGTTTTGGGGGAGCAGTTCCAAACAGGGCAGGAATTCCTGGAAGTTCAACTAAGGAGAGGACAGCTTCATTGCCCGGGGTCATCCAACACTGCTTCTATTTCTAGGCATGTGTATACACAGACACTCACAAACAGTCCCGGTGACCCGTGGCGGCAGCTGCTGCCCAGGTGGCCAGTCCTTAGCTTACTTTCCCAGGTCTGATTTCTTTTCCAGTCTCCTCTGAGACCAACAGAATGACTGGCACAATTAAACAAAAGGCTGTTTTTTATTGGGCAGCAGAGTGGTCCAAATCCTCTGAACCGCCTTTCCAGGCGTACAAGTTTTAAAACCTTTGAATGCCTTTGCCGTCCCTAAGGTTAAGTCCACAGTTTCCCAAGCTGGCCTACGAGCAGGATGGACCACTTCCCTTAATAGTCCAAAAAGGGATGTTGGAGAATGAAAGACAGAGCTACCGAGAATCCTGTGACAGCAGCCATAAGCCAGGACGGAGAGACCAGACTGTTGATCGTTCATCAAGTGCCCAGTTAGGCAGCCGCAGTGCTTTTCACTCTGCTCCTCTGCTGTCCCTCTCCTCTGGCCACACTTTCAATCTTTGGAAACAGGAGAGGGCATGCCCTTCTGATGCTCCTCCCTCCCACAGCACGTCCAGAGTCCCCGTCACACCCGCCGTGTCTTGTTCTGTGACTGCGGCTTCCAGCTTCAGGTGCGCAAAGTCCCACTCGGCAAATAAACTCCCAGGCGTTGTTCACTGGCAGCCAGACCCTCGGACCCGCTGCGTTGGTCAGGTATGACCCAGCCCTGGATCTGGCAACTTCAGCACCACTTTTAGATGCTCTTCTGAAGGCCCCTGACCTGGGTCTGCCACACGGGACTAAGGCTGCTCTCGGTGCTCAGAGAGTGTCTGTCGCCAAGGCAGAGACTATAATGTGTTTACCCAGGGACAGTGGAGGGTGAGACATACAGGCGCGTGCACACGCACACACACCAGGTTCCAGACCCTCCTCAGAAACTTTGAGCTCAGACTTCAGAATTCTTCATTTGAAATGGGCAGTATTATGCCATATTGCTGGGGTAAGGGGGGCTGGGATCACGCCCTATAACCCACCACACTGCCATTTCTTCATCAGAAATGTGTGAATATTTGTACCTAGGAACTAAACAAGGCCTTGAAACCATCTCACATCCCTTCAGGTCAGGCCCTGCAAGCCCTTTCATTCAGATCAGGTCAGAATTTCTATCAACGTGGAGAATAAACTTCTCTTTGGATTTGAGAATTGCCGAAAGTTGAACCGTGGATGGGTAACAATGAACATTACCTAGACATGATGCCCCAGGCAGGGTTCCAGGTTTATATTACATCATGCAGAGCACAGTGTACATCCTAGGTCTGCCACATTCATACATACATGTGTAATACATATAGCATGTGCGAAATCTCAGTCCTCAAAACAATCCCACAATGCATCACTGCCATCTCTAGATAAGGAAATAAGGCACAGAGTATTCAATGACCATATGGAGTAGAGACAGCAGAGCTTAAACCCAATGACAAAATAGATGAACTGTGAACGTGTGTGTGAACATGTACCCAGAGAGAGGCGGGTAAATGCAGCTGGGCACACATTTGCTAAGGTGGCCTTGTCAGTCCTGCAGAACTGCCTGACTCCGCGCCTCCTTTCCAGCATGGCTTCTGATAGCCTTGGTGTCTACAGACAGAACACTAAGGTGGGGGCTTCCTGCCCAGCCTCAGGCAGCTCGGAGAGGGCCAGGTTCAGACCGAAATCATGGCCACCACAATCCCCTGGGGAGTTGGGACCAGGAAACACAGTCATTCTCGTCCAGGGTCCCTGGACTATAAAATGTAAACGAGGCCCAGAGAGAATTCTAGGACAGCCACACGTCTCCAACAGTTGCGGGGGAGAGCAAAATCAGAACACCGAGCGCTGGCACCCAAGGAACATGAGGGCAGCAGAGAGAGTACAGTACACTGGCCTTCAACCCATTAGTGATGGGAACTGAAGCGGAACAAAAATTAATTTTACATGAGCTGCTTGAGTTGAACTTCAACAAATTCGTATCACGAAACCGAACTATGGTGAAGAGCCATCAGTATAAACACTGAAGATAGGACTAACGTCTCTGTGTGTACAGCCAGTCATTCCAACACACTTTCAAGACGGCCACCCAGGCTCCTGGCTGTGCTCCGCAGATTAACATGATATCTTGCCCTTCTGCTCCAAGCCAAGGTTATCTAACGAGGGCTGCCTTTGGCAGAAGGCACTTTGCAGGTCAGTGAATGCATCTGGACGTCAAGAGTGAACAGAGTCCTACAGAGGGAATTTTTGCAGCAGGACGCAGGACAAGCTGTCTGTGGCCCTCCGGTGGGAACACGGAGGACCGGGAAGGGGAGGGTCACTCACCTTTATCCCGTCTTTTCTCATTAGCATCATCCCTCCTTCCCTCAGGACACTAACACGCCTCGTTCAGTCCACTCTTCTCGGCTCTCTTGGAGTCACAGACGGCCATGTATGATGGTTCTGGTGAAAAGGGAAACCCAAACAAAAGTCTTTCTTATCATTGCTTAGTGAAAGAAAAATGCAGTTGATAAGGAAAACCCTTCCCACATCCTTCAACACAGACCTGATGACTGGGCCTTAAGCCGCCTGGTATCGCCATGGTAACAGAAGCCAGCATGTTGAGTAGCTCTGATGAGGACGTGAACTAGACTACGTCTAGATTCGGTATTGTGTTAGACCAGTGCTGTTCTTGGGTTTTTTTTTTTCTGTTATTTGCAACCAAACACTCCTAACGGAGTGTCCGGAACAGAAGGTTATACTTGGAAGTCTGAACCTTAGGCAATGTCACCATAGAGACCGAGAACCATCTACAGTTAGTGATGTGTTCACGTCCCAGGAAGCAACCAGTCTGCCAGACGGTGCCCAGAATATGGATAGTCATGGAATGCCAAACCGTTATGGTTGTTCCAGCACCTGCTCACCATCTTTGTTTTCACCAGCCGAATCCTGAATTTATTCTCACATGGTCTCCACATGTCCTTTCCCAGCCTTACAGTATGCCCCATTTCAGACACGGGGGCCAAGACCAGTGAAAGACGGAAAGTTAACCTAAGCCCCGCCCGCCCACTGTGTAGACAGCTCAGCTGGTTCTAGCCCCACTCAAGAGGCAGGAGATTCCCATTGGGAACACAGATTGGCAAGAGAATGACAGACCTTAGGGTGTGTTCAATTATATTATCAGCACCTTCAGGCCTCTTTGGCCCTCTGTTAAGCCTTTACTTGTAAACAGTGAAACTTTAGTATATACATACATACATACATATGTGTATACATATGTACACATACTTATTGTGCTTTGTGGTGGATGTACATGTCATGTGGGTTAGTTCAGTCAGGGCTACTATTGCTATGAGGAAACACCAAAAGCAACTTGGGGAGGAAAGGGTTTATTTGGTTTATATATCACAGTCCATTGAGGGAAGCCAAGGCAGGAACTCAAACTGGCCTGGAACCTGGCGCCAGGATTCTGGCGGCAGGAGCTGATGCGAGAGCCAGGGATGCAGCTGCCTACTGTCTTGCTCATCATGGCGTGCCCAGCCTGCTTCCGTGTAGCACCCAGGGCCACCTGCCCAGTGATGGCATCACCCACCATGGGCTGGACCCTTCCCCATCGATCACTATTTTTAAAAATGCCCTACAGGTTTGCCTACAGTCCAGTCTCACAGAGGCAGTTTTTCAAATTGAAGTTCCCTCCGCTTAGATGTTGGGAGCTCTGAGCCTCCCAGATCCTGAATTTCCGGAAACAAATCGTAATGCTTGCAGCTGCGCTGAGCACAAGGCCCTCAGGAGTTCCTGATGGCAGGAGAGTGGTTTCTGGTGGGTTTGACTGGGGCGTGGCTAGCAGTTAAGGATCGATATATAAGCAGCTCTGGTACACAATAAAGGGGACATTCCTGTTTCAAGGATGACCCGTGTCTCTGTCTGTGTGTCTTTGTGTGTTTCAATCTCCAGCCCCTTGCCCAGTTCACGAACTGTATGGTAGCGCACAGAGCACAGACGGGTGTGGTGCGCTACATATAGCTTTGTGAAGTTGACATAAAACTAACTAGCACATGGGTATATAAAGGTGTGTGTGCGATTGCAGGTGCTATGTATGTGTGTGTATGTGTGCACGCGTGTATGTGTGTAGAGGTCAAAGGTCAAGGTTAGATGTCTTCTTTAATCACTCTCTATCTTTATTTTTGAAAAAGACTGTGCATGCATATATGTATGTGTGTATGTGCATATGTGTATGTATGTATGTGTATGTATGAATGTACATGTGTGTATAAGCATGTTGTGTATTTGTGTATGTATATATGTGGATGTGTATGTATGTGTTAGTGTGTATGTGTTTGTATGTGTGTATGTGTGTATGTGTGAGGGTGTATGTGTGAATGGGTGTGTATAATATATGTATATGTATATGTGTTTGTGTATATGAGTGTATGTATATGTATGTGTATATATGGGTGTTTATGTGTGTGTATCCATGTGTGTATATGTCTGTGTGTGAATGTGTAAGTGTGAATGTGTGTGTATGTATCTCTGTGTGTGAGAGTGCATATGTGTGTATATGAGAGTGTGTATGTGTGTGAGTGCATATGTGTGTATGTGTGTGTGAGAGTGTGTGTGTGTGCAAGTCCTGAAGGAAGAGGCTGTCAGGCCCCTGGTGCTGGAGCTAACCTGTGGTTGTGAGAAGCCTGCTGTGGGTGCTGGGGAATGAACCCGAGTCCTCTACAGGACCAGCAGGTTCTCTGGAGCCCTGAGCTCTCTCCCCAGGCCCCACATTGATTTTCAACACAGGGTTTTCTCACCAAACCCGAAGCTTGTGGGTTTGGCTAGGCCGGCTGCCCAGTGAGCTTCAGGGACCTGCCTGTCTCCAGCTGGTTCCAGGGCCGGGGTTGCAGGCTATTATTATTTTTTAAAGAAGACAGAATGAGTAAGAGTCCCCATGTTACAGTTTAGATCTCGTTGCGAGCAGGGTCCATTTAGAAGCTATAAATGCTTCATGAAGGTCTAATATAAAATTACATAGATTAGCAAGGGAGCGTTGTTAGGTCATCTATCAACGCGTGTGTGACTTTCTTTCCAGTAGCAACTAAGAGCCACCGAGAGAGTACAAACATGAGGCTGCCATGACCAGATCTTTTATTTAGAGAGATCACAGGGCTGCACTGTGGGAAGGCACACTGTAAGGCAGCACAAGGCCAGTGCCACTGGTAAGAAATGATGCAGGCCCAGATTAAAGCCGTGGCAGAAGGCAGATTGGCAAGTCTTTAGGAGGCTTTAGCAAAAGGGTTTAGTGACAGATTGGATCTAAAGGGTGAAAGATCCAGGGATTAAAGTGACTCCCAGATCTGATGGGCGGTTCGCGGTGCTGCCCACTGAAGCAGACAATGCCAGAGGGTCAGGAGAACGAAGGGGCTGGGGACAGCAGGTGACCCTGCACCCTATGGGTCAGTTCCTGGAGGGGATCACCAGACAGTGGGTCAGGCATCGGATCTGACCAGGAACTCCCCTGAACGCAAGTAGGAGCGGAAGTCACAGGCTTTTCTGACATCATCCAGTGAAAACGCACGCAGTGAAAAGATGCACAGGCAGAACTCCATGGAACCCCAGAATCGGGGATGGTACAAGCAGCGGCGTCCATGAAGGAGACAATGAAGCGGCCAGAGAAACAGGAGGAGAGCCACGAAGGAGGTGCTATCGCAGTTTAGTATGAACTGTCTCCCCCAAATTGTGCATATTGAGTCCTTGTTCCCTCAGCAAGTGGTGCTATACTTGGGGGCAGGTTCTGGAAACTCAAAGCAGGCAGGACCTAGTGGGAGGAAGGAGGTCACCCCTTGGAGGTTACATCTCATCCCCTAATCTCGTCCACATGCTCCACTTCCCGTCTGAGATGAGCGCACACTCTCTGCACGCATTCCCACACTTTAACCGCTAGCCCAGGTCCAAGGACTGTGGACTGAAATCTCTGCGCCCATGCGCCAAAACGAACCTTTAGGTGGTTTGTGTCGGGGATTTGGTCATAACTACTCGACAGTAAGCAGTACAAGCTGGGCAGGAGAGCAGGGTGGGAAAGCCAACCAGGAGCGCCATCAGGACTGAGTGTTGACACCCTCATTGTCACAGAGTTCTGCTCATATGACCCTTGGCATCACTGACCAAGGAGTGGTTAGGACCGCTGAGAAGGACAGAGGTCACTATGGGCTTGAGCTCCTAGAAGGAGAGATGAGCCAGACCTGTGAGTCAAGGGTGTCATCTGTCCCCATGTCACAACTGAGGTCTCAAGCCGTAAAGTCTTTGCCTCCAGCCTGTGGTAGAAGCTGTAATAGGTGAGACCTTGTAGGAAATATTGGGACGCCAGCCTCTCCTGTCTTGCTGCTCCTGGCCACCAAGGGGTGAGCACCTTTGCGCCAACCTGATGTCACCTCTCCAGAGGTCCCCAAACCACAGACCCAAACGACCACGCGTGGAAACCTCTCAGACTATGAACTCGGATTGCTTTTTCTCAGTTGTTCTGCGGCAGCCCCAGAAAATGGAGTCACCGACACTGCCTGCCGTGGGGATCAGGAAGCAGGCGGAGCAGAGGGAAGCAGAGCAGAGGGTCAGAGAAGGCATCCACACCGATGAGAGTCTTTTATGCATATGGTTCCAGTCAGTATGTCTTACTTAGAAATATAAATTCCCAAAATATATCAAACGGGGTGTGGGGGGGAGCGTAAGACCTACAAAAGTCTGCATTACCTGACGGGATGAAATATGTGCTTGCTGGAGATATAAGGGGTGGTGTGGGAACTCACGGGGAGGGAAGATTAATTTGGCTGGGCTGAAGCTCTGCTTCCAGGAGGGAGGGGGCAGCTAGCAGCGCTGGCTCTTTAAGGGCTGGAAGGCTTTCATAGCGAGGGGAAGAGTGCACTCTAGCTGAAGGAAGAGAGCCAGCAAAAGGAAAAGCAAAAGGAGCGTTAGGAAAGTGGGGACAGTCTGGCTTCTGCCCCAACCCTGTAGGTTAACCCTTGTGTGCCCCCCATCTCTCTAGGGACTCCAGGAAGCTGTCCTGCCCTGCTGGAGCACTCCAGCCACCCCACCGCGGCCCCTCCCACTCTCTGTGGAAATGATCTGTTGATTGGTCTGCCGCGCTCACCAGACATTTGCAACTGTGTTTCTTTGTACTTCCTATGCCTGGCACAAAGCTTGGGCCAAGGGAGAACTCAATGCCATTTCCCCAGCTCACAGCAACAGGGCTCTGGCGGACCAGCTAGTGGAGGAAGACCGAGGAGACCCAGCAGAGAGGCACCATTTCTTTTACAGGCCAGGACCCGGGTGGGGGCCCGAGGTGGGGGCCGCGCTGTGGTTAAGCTGGGTGTGATGACTTACAGGCATGGGAATAGTAGAACTTTCTAAAGTTAGAGCGAAGTAGGCACCATCTAAAGTTTCCCACTTTAGGGGCTAGAGAGGTGGGTCACTGATTCAGAGTC